TATATATATATATATATATATATATATATATATATATATATATATATACATACTACTAAAAAAAGTTAATTAACTTGTGGGATATCGATTTGTTCAGGTAAGTAGCACAGAGGGTTGTTAATCGGTTTCAGCTGCTTTGGTGTTAATGAAATTTACAACAGGTGCACTAGAGGGGCAACGACGAGATGACCATCATGACAGGAATGGTTTTACAACAAAGCCCGGCCTCATGTGGCGAGAGTATGCAGGCAGTTCCTGCATACCAGATGTGTCACAACGAGCCACCGGAAGTGTCACAACGAGCCACCGGAAGTGGCGTCATGCAGCCGGCATTAATTAATGATTAATTTTCTTTTTAGTTAAAAAAATATATTATTTCAGTAATAAAGAATGACACACCCTGGCTTTATTGTGCTAATATTAGACAATTGGTTCATCCAGGTCTGTTCTTGAATAAAAGTAACTGGGTGATTATTTTTCTATTTAAAATCAAATGAAACTAGCAGCAAATCCATGAATAATGAAAGGGTAAAGAAAAAGTATTGCAACTCATATCTTTAGTGTGTCACAGGTTAATGGTTTTAATGCTTTGACAGATCAATGTATAATATATTGCAGGATGATATACTTTCTTATTTGTAATGATAATAGTGATTATTTTTTGTCTTTCTCTTCCAGCGTCTTTCTGGAGCTGGTTTTTCGACAGGTCTGCAGTATTTTGGTCAAAGTCTTCACGGAGTTCTTGACGTCAATGGAGACGGGCTTGTTGATTTAGCAGTGGGAGCACTGGGAGCTGCAGTCATTATCTGGTAAAAGTGAATGCAGACCTCATCATGCTGCTAGTCGCTTTATTCACTGCGTTAATGATAAGAACTACTATTCTGCTTAAAACAATCGACAGGTAGCCTAGTAAACTAGCCCCACCCAAAAGCGGCCAAAATCATTTTTGCCTTCGAGTGGTCTAGCCTCGATCAATGCCCCAGGCCCTAGAACTGGCGGGCCATAACAACTCAGATGTGTTTTGAATTTCTGGATGCAAAGGGGGTGGGGTTTTGAGGTTGTGACGACAAAGCCGCACGACGCTGGAGAGCGCAACAAGGAAGATGGCAACAGTTCACGTTTGACTCAGCTTTGGAATCAGTTTTGGAAGGATTAGACTTAGGTTTTTTTGTTGAAATGTGAAAAGGAAGAGGCTCTATGCTCATTCATTTTTAAGAAGGACGTATTCGCCGTTTTACCGACAGGCTGTTTGTTTCCACTTCCCCACCAGCTTTCTGTCGCGCTTCCTACGTCACAGTCAGTTGCCCTCATTGGTCAGAGCGTTGGCCAATAGGCACAGACGTAGTTTCAAAAACAACGGGTTGTTCTCATCAACAATCTTCTGATGTCTCATTCATCGGGGCCAGACTAGATTACACATTTAATCTACCATTTAGTCTGGTTTATCAGACTAAGAATTCTGACTTTTTCTCAAAATTCTGACTTTTTCTCA